AGAAAATTTAACTCAGTAGGCCGTTTTTTTATGCTAGTTTGCCTCAAAATTCGAATAATATGCAAAACTTGATAATTTAAGACGAACAAAACAAAAACAATTATTTTTTTTCAAAATGTCCTTTCAATATGAGACTTTAGGAATTTTCATTTTGATCTTGTCTACTGAAAGCTTTTTCGACAATTTTTCCCCAGAAAAATGGTTGATTTTCGAAAAATAAAGAACTGAAAAAGGTCGCCAAGCCAAAATTAGTATGAAAAGACGCTATGACATATCAAATTATCAGAACTCCTATAACCTGCCGTTAAATCATTATTTTGAGGGGCTCGATGTTATGGAATGCATGTTAGCTCATATGTAGTTTTTTTTTGCTACGCTGTTCTTCTTCCGGTTTGTTTTGGGTGTTGAGAAACTATTTTTTCGAGTGCAAAATTGGATTTTTCCAAATTTTGGCTCGCAAACTTTTTGGCTAATAGCTTCTAAACTTTTGAGAGCTTTTGATGATTGTTTGTTGTTATCGCTATAATTTGTGTTGGCCCTAACTTTTGTATGCAAATAGTTTCCTAGCTCATCTGCGTTATTTATACTAATGCACCTGGGTCTAGGACAACAAGCCGACGGGACTTCAAGCCGAAATTAAAATTTTACAGGCACCTCAAAACACTATTTTATCGTTTGTAAAACGTTGCTTTTCAAAAACTTTGGAAAGTTTAGTCCATAATAAGCGTTATTCATGAGAATGCACCACTGGTGATTGGCATCCGTTAATAACATCAGCCGGTTTTTGAAATGCATAAATTATAAACATGAAAAATGCTTTCAACCATGTTTTACTTTTCAACTTTCCGAAACATCATTTGGAGGCTCAAATAATATGCAAACGCCAAATGCTAGTGAAGAAAGGTCATGAAATTCAGAAATTCTTCAAAAAAAGTTTTCAACTTATTCATTTTTCACGACTTTATAAGGAATTATTTGTCTAGAAGTCCCTAATTTTACAATTCGGCTTGAATTCCCGTCGGCTTGATGTCCGACACCCATGCATCTATGTCTACATTTCTACCCTTTCTTGCATCCATAGTTTTGTATATATCAATCCATGCATTTATATCTGTGCATCTGTATCCAAGTCTATGTACCTTTATCTGTGTGTATGTGGATATGCGCATCTATATCTTCGCATCTTCTTTCATGCATCTGTGTCGATGTATATGTTTTGATATCTGCGCTATATATGTTTTGATCTACGCTTCGAGAAATATGATCTGTATGAACTGGGGTTAGGTCTTTTACCAGACCGACCTTTTACCAGACCTCAAATACCAGAACTCAAATAGTATAAGTTAAAATTAGTGGAAGATTTGAAAAGGAAGCGGTTAGAACAAACAAAACTTTGTTGAGAAACCGTGAAATCATTGTCTCCAAACTAGACTAAACGGCTTCATTGCATCTGTCAATCAAATTTGTTTATCGAAACTGATAAAAGGTCCATGTTATAACTTTTCTGGTAAAAGTTCGGTCTGGTAAAAGG